TATATATATATATATATTACGGCTCTATGTTTTAACACAATAGATTGAAGGAATGGTTATCTTGGTGCTTCTTATAATATCTCTATGTAAATTTTATTACAGAATTATATTACAAATTCTAGTTTTATAATAATTTGAATTTTGTTACAGTAATATCACAAGTTTATATATGTATATTTAACATAATATTATTGTCCTTTGTAGTGCGTAAGTACGTAAATGAATTCGAACTCGTTAATTTAATAAATAACCTCTTCATTCGGCGAGCGTACGATCTTTTTGGTTGAACGTCCGATTTAATTCTGTTCTGTTTTCCGCGAGTCTTTTTTTAATCGAATTATTAATTTTCGTTGCTAAGGCTGCGTTCGGTTTGGACGCTCACGCGCTGTAAGCGCTTATAAGCATTGCTTATGTCGTTCGCTTTGGCGTTGTAAGCGCTCGGAAACGCATTCATGACGTCATCATGACGTCATAACTCGTGCTTACAGACGCTTATTTCATCGAGGTAGGGCAGCGAAAGCGTAAGCGCTAATAAGCGCTTACTGTCCAAAGTGAACGCTAGCTGCGAACGTGACGAGCAAATCATGGCGTCCCAGCAATCCTCGAGTAATACAGCTGAAAAAATAGAAATAAAAATACAGAATGCCGATACGGAGAAAAACTATATAATAACCGTAATTCCAGAGGAAGCAAAACTACTTCGAGAAGGTAAGTTCCTGTTATTAACTGATTGCGATATTTTGTTTCATTTCTAGGTTTGTTCATTTTTAGGTTATGAAATAAATTTTTACAATTTATATCAATAAAATTAAATAATTTTTTCTTTCTCTTTTTATTAATTCGAAAATCTTACTTTTGTCGCAAATCAATTGAGTTTTGAACTGATCTTTTTTCCAGTTTTTTTTTGTTAGAAACATTTATTATGGTTATTGACATTTCCTGCTCTATTTTAATGATTTTCCCTTACTTACAGATAATAATTTTGCAACAGCAAAATTGCAAGAAGCGATGGAAATGCAACGTAAGTTTATTAACGTTATAAATATATTAATGCATATTTGCTGTATTAATTAATGTGATTATTTGTATATAGATGACTCCAGCGATATATCTGCAATAGCAGAAAATGATGAAAATATACCACAAACGCAAGATATTGGAGGTAATTCCTAAATATTGTTGTAGTTATTTGTATATTTCTTTATTTTTTTTAAATAAATTAATCTTTGTAGTTTTCAAATGGCCACACGAAGCAATTTTGTTATTGGTCGAAGAATATCGTGTATGGGAAAAAGATTTTTCCAGTGGAAAAATATCTCAAAAAAGAGTAT